GGCTTGTACAGCCCAGAGCCTGAGCACCATGATTTCAACCTCTATTGGCGTCGGCCTGCCTTGGCACAAGGGCTGTGTAGGTGGCTTCCTTCTAGTGTCTTGTCCCTTTTTATTAAGTACCGTCTTCTCTCCTGAAAGGTGACTTCTCATCTCTGCAGTCCAGCCTCAGAGAGCCTGGCCCATCTTCTCTGCACTGTTCATCTTTCCTTTCTCCCATATATCCCCCTACTCAACCCTTTCAATGCAACTACCTAAATACCCTCTGAGCGGACACACTTTGCTGGGTCGCAGGGAGTCCATTCAAGGCTTTTGAAGGTCCAAGTGGTGTCTGAACTGCTGTGCATTCACAGCATAGGGGCATCAACTGAAAGGGCTCGCAAGAAAAAACTGCCGGGACATTTGAACGACCATGTAAATCTATAATGCTTTGGGAAAAATCCACAGAGTGTGATCCCAATTTGGTGTCCAAAAATTACTCATAGCTATTCACATACAGAAACCTGTAAGCAAGGTTACAAGGCTACCCGCTGTGGGCACTTGTGATGGCCGTGGGGTGGGAGAGTGTTACCTGGGGGTGGGTGGGAGGGGGAGGGTTCCTCCTTTTATTTTTCATGTCTTTGAGTTTTTTTTAAATATGATGCTTTGTTTTTAGTTGCCTACAGGAAACGAACATTCATTAGTGAGTCAATGTTTTGCAGATAGGATGTGAACATTCATGCTCTCAGGAGCTTCCCACTGCTGCCTCTCTACGACTGCCACCCCCTCTGTTCACTCCTACACCGACCTCCACTGGCCCACAGTCCTTCCCTGTCTTTCTTCATACACACTCCTTTTCTCAACCTGTGCTCCCAAACACAAGAGACTCTTTTCCCTCGACGATGGCTAGTATCATTTTTCTCCAGGACTTCCTAGCTAGGCAGTCAAGCTAAACTACTGTTTGGTTTTAAGAAACCTCTGCTCGGGGCACAGGGCGCTAACCTACCCAAGGGGAGGGTATTGTTTATATTTCCACAGGAAAAGAGGGACCAAACTTCAACCCAGTGCTCCAAGGTGTGAAGACAACATGCCGGCGCAGAGTAGGGAATCAGTGGAGAGGTCTAAGGGGCTGGTCCCAGCCCC